ATTTAGAATTGGGGCTTCCCATGTGGTTGCATTTCTCTATATAAAATGACATTTCTATTTTTTACCTATTCACTCATGTAGTACTCTTTGGCTTTAAAATTTCAACAATTTTCAGTCTCTTTAACGGGTATTTCGACTTTGACTTTGTAAAAATATTTCACTTAAGATGCCTATTGTTGCGCCTCAGCTTAATAGCTAGAGGGTAAGTGCAAGTGCACACTGTCACAAGTAATAATCTGGAAATATTCCAAGTTCGTCTCCACAGGGACTAGTTTTTCTTTTGAAATTGAATTTGAAAACTATTGGAATGAGCAATCAGGTTTGTGATAAAAATTGGTGAGATTGGTTGAACATGAAAAACACACGAAAATAATAGAATTTAAAGGGCCAACCCCCTACTACTGTTTAGTTCTAAAATTATGAATTACACCTACCAAATGTGTCCGTAATTACACTCAATTTATGCAAATTGGTTCAACTCCTATTCCATACCGCTTTTGGTTTGTTTAGAAGTTTAGACTAGTGTTTATATATGTCTATGCAACTCTAGAATCCTAAATAAATTAAATTCCAACTTACGTTTAACGGGTAAGAGAGCCTATGTCTAGGATCTTGTTTTAGTTCTTATTTCTAAATAACTTCCTGTTTTACCTTGATGAGATCCGTTTGACTCTAACCTTTTCAGAATTAAATTCAAACCAATGTGATTTAAACAAGTGGCCAACAAAAAAATCAACTGGATAAATTGTATCAATCAAGATAAGCAAAGAGAGCGTAATACGTCGTACTCACTGATAGATGTAATTTAAAATAGATGAACTAAACCATTTGTAGGAGGGTTGAAAAATTAATTTAGCTACTCATGGAATTAAAATAAATGCAATAGCAAAAGAAGATAACAAAAGAATGAATTTTCATTGAATCGGGAAAGAAGAACACAAATTAGAGTAACTAGAATTTCGATAAAATAAGCAAGGGATAAGTGTAAAAACAATAAAGGAAGAACAAAACTTAAAACTGTAATTAAAACTTAAAAGCTAAAGTTAACAAGAATTTAGAAAGAAGAAGCAAAGCATGGAAATGAGATGGGTAGAAGTGATGCTTGGAGGCTCCTTTTATAGACCATGGAAGTAATAAGGATTTGAGAAATTCAAGGGAAGTTGGCAACCACTTGTTGTAGAGATATTAGGAGTACAATCGAATCTTGGACCAATTATTTGGTCAAAAGTTGTTATTCCCGTTTTGACAATCTAAGCATTGAATGTGGCTGAAGCATTGTTTAGTTGGAACTTTCAAAGCAATTTGGCTAGTGCATTCCTCTAGTAAACTGGAAATTCTAGTCAGGTGATGTGTCTGACGCATTGTGATCATAAATCTTCACTTTTCCTTACAAAACAAGCATATTTACCAAAATTAGTCTTCATTTACCTATAACTGAATTTCAAAGTTCCTAATAAGAAATTATGCACATTTTCCTTAAATTATATGCATGAACATACATTTTTCATCCCAAATATAAGTTACTTAAGCATGCAAACCTACACTTTTTTAGCCTATAATCAAGTCTTATCACCTGTTGTGAAATTATTGCAATGTTTTTTCAGGTAAATGATTTGATAGTTTCAACCATATTTGTTTTCTTGTGAATCCATACTAGAATATGCATTATCTACTTATGACATAGGGAGATAAATGTGAGATCCAAATTCGACACAATCCATACAAGAGAAACATGGGCATATTTGAGGTTATGGGTCGGTGTTACTCCTTCTGAGTTGTTTGGATCATCTTCCAAAGTTTGTGATCTTGATCGACATCTTAACGAGTCAGAACAACGTCTTCAAGAATCTGAATGACAAAAAAAGGTTGAGGTAGAAGGACTCAAAGATCAAATTATTGAATTACAAAATCGTTTTGAGCATCGATTTCAAGCAATGATGACTGAGATGATGCAAAAATATTTACAGGTTATAATTTTTATTTCTTTTTTGTTTTAGGGATTTGAAGTATTAGTATTATTTGAATTAGTTTTAGAAATACAGTGACTACTTGTTGATTGTTTTTTGAGTAACTATTGGTCATAGTAAATAATATTTTGCTTGTATTGAATGTAGTTTTGAATTATAAATTTTAACTAGGAAAAGTAATTTAATTTTTCTAAACAAATAATATCAAATTAGTATTAATTTCAAATTCTATTATTCTACTTTATTTTTTTCGAAGGATTTACAAATGCCAATAAATAACTTTTTTTGAGGTTTAAAGATGGTTAAGAATAAAATTATGATCCTTGGAAAATAATGAAAACCTTCGAAAAAAGTAATTGAAACTAACTAATTATTGACAACTAATTTAACAATTATCGAAGACTTATAACTTTTGAAAAATATGCATTTTTTAAGGCTAATTGAACATTTGAAAAATATGAATTTGTGAAGGTTAACAAAACTTTCGAAAAAGCTTTTTCGACGGGGCCTATTTCGACTTGAAGGTTGAGTAAACCTTTGAAAAAAGATTTATCGAAGGTTTATTTTATACTTTTTGAAAATACTTAATTTTCTTGTAGTGTTTGTTGTTGAATTCATTATAATTATCTAATCCAATAAACTAAACATCCAAGGTTATTGTAATGTAACCGGGACAATATATACTGGGTATATAATTGATATATCTTCGATATACAAGTGGATAATGTCTCGAGAATAACGTGAAGGGTCTATAGTATATGGATAAGGTTGGGTACCTTATCCTGACTACACTATGGATACGTCCCACTTTGTAAATATTACAGACGACTCGATCCAGGTCGTTCGTGTAGAGACATGTGAGTGGGGGTATCCTATACAATGATTTTGTATAAGACCGGACCACAAAATAGCTGATCTTTAGATGTAACGCTGTTGACTAATAGATTGCTATTTCATAGAATGACCAGGCAACTCATTCTCAATCCTGAGTGAGTTATGAACTCCTGCCTGTGAGAGCTCGTTCTTTGATCTGTATGGGTGAGAGTGGCTCGAGTCGCCGACTCAACATTCTCACCATTTTGGGGATGAGACCAAGTAGGGAGCTGGGAACATAACTACACAAGATGAAATTCACTCTTCCCGACTTTAGGGGAGTAGATGAGTGTTCCCTTTAATGCCGACTCCGGGACTTGAATTTCCGATTATTGGTCGGACCTTAACCGGGTTGTTCATTAGAGGATTAACAGTACTTAAGGTACAAGATGTAACACAAGAGTAAAACGGTAATTTGACCCATCTATGGTTACGAACACTTGTGAAGGATTGACTTGCTGTCAATGGTCGATATCCGTGGACAAAGAAAAACTCTATAGTGAGAAGAGTTCAGTTGCGTGTTTTTAGTGGAGTAACCCGTAGTGAACGTATGTTGATTAAGATGGTTAATGAATTTAACCGATTAATCTTCTAACATTGGAGCTTCTGATCTATAGGTCCATTAGGTCCCCTTGCTAGCTCATAAAGGGTAATTAAGAACATCAAGTCTTGGAAGGAATTTAAATTGTTCAAATTTAATTAAAGGGAATTTGAATTAATTGTATATGACACAATTTAATATAATGTATATACATTATAAAACTATATATTATGAGAGAATAATATAAATTGGATTCATATTAGAACTATAGGTTTTTTTTTAGTATATATTAAAACTATAGGTTAAAGTTTAATGTGACTTAGATTCATATTAAATACTATAGGTTAAAAGTTAATGTGAATTAGATTCATGTTAAATACCATAGGTTATGGGGGATATGTATATTTGAATATGATTCAAATATTAATTAATTTAATTAAATGTGATTTAATTAAATTATGTTTAATTAATTAATTAATTAATTATTAATTGAATTAAAATAGGTTTTAATTTTTAATTTATATATATATATATATATATATATATATTTTGTTAATCTATGTTATTTACCATAGGTAACAAACTCACCACTTCCCAGCAAAATTGCTAGRAAATCGTAGGGTGGAGACTCCCACTCTCTCTTCCTTGGTGCCTAGAGATTTTGTATGTGTTTTGTTGTTAAATGTTATGGTTTTTCCTACAAAAACATATCCTTCTCTCTCACAATATCATTCCAATTTTCCTTTTGTTTTTTTGTCAAGAAGAACCCACAATCCATTCTTGATCCAAAAGAGAATAGCAATGTAACTTTGTGGTAATGTCTGACTTCGATTTGAGCAGTCGTGTGTCACAACGTTCATGCTCGAGGAAGAGAATCTGCCAACGGTCTTCGAATGTGAGTTTTTCTCTTCCCCAAGAGGCTTAACCTCATTATTAATAGAAATGTTCTATTTTTTTTAAATCGGTATCGTTTCTTTTCTAATCCGAGTTGACTCACGATCAACCGCTGCCGCTGGGGATTCGATCCCTTCAAGGGGTGTGTGGAGGGCGGCAGTAGTGTTTTTTTAGAGAAAGAGGGATATGAAATATGTTTTGAGAACAAGTGGGGTCGAAAGGACCATCGAACTCGTGTGCATTGTACTCGAATTCATAAATCGTGTGCAATGCACACGATTTTGGACCGCCCCGTGGCTCCAATTGTCCGCAGTTGGAGCCACATCAGACGATTATGGAAGTTTCCTAAATTCATGTCTAATGGAAACGAGTTCGCTAAATCGTGTATGTTCTACCCTATATTTGAAAATAGTTTCAAACTTACCTTATTTTTCCTTTTTTTCTTTTTAATTTATATTATCAAAAAACAAAGTCTCTAAATGGTACAAAACTGCCAGTTTGATGTCGGTGAAATATCTGCTTTTTATTCCAGAGGTAAGGTGTTTTTACTAAACACTATAATTACTACATTAATACAATTCATTTTATTTTTTAATAGTAATTATTTTATTTTAGAATTAACACTGGTTTCAATAATATATTTTTAGTAGTAATTATTTTATTTTTTATTATTAAAAAAAAAAAATCCTCTAAGCCATGCATCAAAAGGAAAGTAAGTAGTGAGTTATGAAGCAACGGCCACGTACTGCCCTGTTCGAACCTTATCAAACATGGCCGCTACTGCTGCCACTGTTTCGTTAATCGGCGCTCCATTTCTTCCCCCGCCATTCAGGTCCGCCGCCGCAAACCTTCAAATTGCCCCAACGCCATGGCTCTCCAAACTCAGGTTTCAGCTCCAGCCTCTGCGTCTTCCAACGCGGAGAACCCTCGTTCTTCGATGCGCTCGAACCGAATCCAAAGGGGTCTCCTTAGGCTTCCGAGCCCCAAATTTTGAGGTACTTTACTTGATGCAATTGTATTCCCAAGCAATTGAAATTGAGCCACAGTTTTCAGTGACGACAATTTGTTTTTGGCTTTCTTTTATGGTCGCGCCATTGGCTTAGCTTCCTGAACCTCTTACAGGCAAAGTATGGAAGTTGGAGGATTTTGAACCCTATCCTGCTTTACTGGTAAAATTCGTTTCCATTTGATCCAGTTATTGCTTGTTCTGTTTTAGACTCTAGGGTTTTGCTTTTGCTGTGCATTTGTTTGTTGTTTGCAGGTCATGTTTATTTGCAATCATTGCCCATTTGTTATACACTTGAAAAAAGATATTGTGAAACTTTCAAATTTCTATATGAAGGTACAAGAAATATCTGAGTTCTGTGTAGTGTTACAGCAGGAACTCTGTAGTCAGTACAATAACTCATAATTGTTATACTGTGGTCTTACAGAAAGGACTGGCTGTTGCAGCCATATCTTCAAACTCTGTAGCTACGCATCCACAGGTTCGGTTAACTTCGTAGTTGGAATTGGAAGTTGCGTTCACGGATTGTTTAATTGTCGGACCATGGCAATTTTCATGACAGGATGGACCAGAGTTCATGGCAGAAGATGCAAAAGCATTCAGTTATCCCTTTCCATATTTATATGATGCAGTATATTCCTTTAAACCTTATGCTATTAGTTTTATTTAGCTATTCCTTATGTAGAATAATATGATCCGGTATTTGACTATCGATACGATGCGTCCTACAAGCATTGTTTTATCTTGGTTTTTAATTTCGACCAATGAGATTGCATACACATCCTAACAGCATCTACAATCCAATAGTTGACCACACTGCTTTCCACCTTGAATTCACCGTGCAATTTGGTCAATATCGGTTCTAAATGTCATGTCTAGAACTGATATATGTTTGTTTTTCCTTCAAAGTAGCAATAAAGTTACATGTATTGGTGAGAGGATTATGAGGAGCCAAAGGCTGTCTGTTGTAGATGCCTTTATATTCACAATCAGTTGAACTCTAATTTGAAGCCTTGATATCAATTTGAAAGCTAATTGTACATATCTAATTGCAGTCACAGAAAGTTGCAAGGGATTTCGGTGCAGTCTGCACACCAGAGTTTTTTCTGTTCAAAAAGGTAATTTAACTAAACCTGCTTTGTTAATTTTTAGTGTAACTATTCCTAGTATACTTACTCCAGATCTTGCTTGAAGAAACCAAGATTTATTGATAGCAGCATTTAAGCATGTAACAGGATGGGCGAAGGCCATATGAGTTGGTTTATCATGGTCAGTTTGACGATTCTCGACCGAGTAATAACGTGCCTGTCACTGGGAGGTCGGTGTCCCGGGTTTAATTCAAATGTGTTTGAAACTTTGCTCTACTGCAATTGCTTGAAGTTAACAACTAACTCAACTGCTTTACAATTTGATTAGGGATTTAAGTTTGGCATTAGATTGTGTTCTCAGTGGCCAACCAGTATCTTCGGAGCAGAAACCGAGGTATTTTCTGATATCTCATCAGCTCTCTGCATATGCATATGTTTCATGGTATCATTAAATCACATATAATATAACCTAATTTTCATTTCATAATTTCCTACAGTGTTGGATGTAGCATAAAGTGGCATCCTTAGATGAAGCTATAATCACTAATCTTATTCTCTGCTGCCTGAAGATCAAATCTCCGAGCAAAGGCGTTAAATGCAGCACACAAACTTCCCAACCGAACCAATAAGCATTTTGATTTTCTGAATCATTCGATCCATCCTACTCCTGTGATATTTTCTTAACTTCTCTTTTTTCCTTTTATAGCGATAATTCTTTTTGTATTTATGTCAAATAAAGAGGAAAAAAAGGCTATTGTTTTATTATTTCTCATCCAAGTATAATTTAATTTTAATCGAGTGTAACGTGGTATTTTTCATATGAATATGTAAGAGTAAATTTTAGTCTAGCTGCTTTCATTGCTTTATAGTGGGGTCCAAATCATTTTGTGTAGAAAGCAATCTTTTGTACTAGATGTTGATTCATGACATAGAATTTTTAATTTTTTTATAATTGGGAGTCAGAGCTTTGCTCCCCTATACTCAAGAACACTTGCGTCCGCCTCCGAAGACATCAAGGATTTTTGGTATTCAACTTATCAAAAGGTTCGAACCTGAGACCTCTAAATCAATATGGCCAAGAGAGTCCAAGTTCTTGCCAACTGGGCTGCCCCTTTGGGGGATGAGATAGAAATTAAAACTAAAAGTGAAACTTTCAATCTAGAATATTGCTTGGAACAGATTAATTGAGAATGTTAGAACAATGGACCTCTCCATATTTTTACGTTTGTATTATATTGTCCACTTTAGGCCTTATCTTTGGTGCATTGTTTTTTATTTCATCCAAAAGGTCTCATACTAATAGAAATCTTGTCCTCTACTTTTATACTAATAATCTTTCTTTTGTTTGTCCTATGCGAGACTTTGGTCGTAGAACAATCCTCCCTTACGAACAAAGTATAAAGAATTTTCCTTCAAATAGTCATTCATTTGGTCACTCCTAGTCCCATTGAGAGCGTGCCCACTATGCCAACTTCTCTTCTACAGAGAATAGAATACTACTTGTCTGATAAAGCTCAATCATGTATCGGGCTGTGGGTTATACACCAACCACCCCTCCCCTCAATCTAATAAAGCTTCATCTTTTTATCCGATTGCCTTGTCTAATAGAGCTCTATCTCTCGCCACTTTTTGTCCAGCATTTGTGGATTTTTCTCATTACCACTTCCTTGTTCAATATTTGAGGGTTCTACCCACGTAGCTAAGTTTAGGGCATGACTTGATACCATTTGTCAGAATAGTAAACTTCTCCATATTTCCATAGTGGTATGATGTTGTTTGCTATGGGCCTAAGCCTTCATGACTTTGCTTTTAGTTTCAATTTCAAACTAAAGACTTCATATGGATAAAGATGTTGACTTCTACTTTTATACCCATAATCTTCCTTTTTGTGTAGCCGTGAGATTCACATTCTAATTGAGAATATGAACACCCTAATCATACACCATTCAAGTTAGAAATTTGTTATACTCTCTTTTTCCCCCTTTTTTAGTATAGGTTTGTCATAATTTCGTGTAGAAGTCTATCGCAATTTTCATCTGCTTTGGATGTTAAAAAACTCGTATCCTTCTCGAGGTTTGGGCATTTCTCATTATTACCTTGGCGATAGTAACAGTTGCTCGACTTCTTTGCCATTGGAGTTTGATAAGTTTGGACAAATAATCGGTGGACCTACGATATTTCAGCGTCACATGACTACAAAGCAACGTATCCTTTCAAGATCATGGAGCATGAGCTTTCTCTTTTCTTTGCACATATTATTGTTGAGATGGAAACTGCTAAAAGCATGGTGGTCCGAAATGGCTCTTTACAGCTTAACCTTTATTTGTCTAATACCAAAAGTTTGTCTGTCTATGATGTCTATTTGTTGGTTGAGCTGCCCACAGACAACTCAGTAGGTTTTGAGGGCAAAAATTTCTTTTCTTGGTCCCCTCTATATTGGTTACAACAGCTGCTACCAAACTTATTCTTCATAAAGTTTTCTTGGTAATGTCACAGGAGGTTTGCTTCTCTTTAGTTCATACATACGGGGAATACGGCAATGCGATCTGCATCGGATTGTAAAGAACGGGAAGTACTCAGTATGGAGAATGAGAGAGATACTTCAAGCAGAAGTACAGATTCAGCCTTGTCATTATTGCTGCTACATACTTCCAATCTGTACAAATAAATTTCATAGTTTTCTTAAAAAGGAAATAAATCAGTGAACTGAATTGTTCTTCAGGGTTTTTGAATCTATGGTACTGCAGAAGGTACAGCTCTAATTAGAGGCTCAGATGATCTAGAAAAACTGGAACAGTGAACTGCTGCTTTTGGATTTGTGATGGCTCCTCCTCTTTCCAACAAATTGGGCTTCTCATACTCCTCATTTTCATGCTTGATCTCCTTGAGCATGGCCGTGACGTCTTTCATTGTTGGTCGTTCCTCTGGCGAAGGGTTGACGCAGAGGAGGGCCACCCCGAGCACTTGAAGCATCTGTTGCATTTGCGTTCCCGATCGCTGGAGTAACTGCTGATCAAGGATTGCTGTAAATTCCCTCTTTTTATCTCTTAGTTCTTTGTTAACCCAAGTGACAATGTGGGCACCTTCTGGGATTCCACCGTCTGTTGGCGCCTTCCCTGTTAAGACCTCTAGAAGCACGACGCCATAACTGTATACATCACTTTTCTCTGTTATCCTCAAGCTGTACCCATATTCTGCATTGAAAATTTACATGGAAAAGATCTATATTAAGAAGCTTCTGCAATTGAACTGGTTTCATTTTTGCCAAGTTTATGCAACATCCTAGAATTTTTAGTGTCTAAACAATCTACAAATGGATTCTTTCCAGATTTGAAGTAACTTAAGCAAATAATTTCAATCTTCTGATACTTACCTGGAGCAATATAGCCATAAGAACCAGCAATGGCATTGGAAGGTCTTGAACAGCCTGAAGAATCGACGAGCTTCGCCAGGCCGAAATCGGCAAGAACAGCTTCAAACTGTGATCCTACTAATATGTTGTTTGCTTTAATATCGCGATGAAGAATTGGAGGTATGCAATCATGGTGAAGATAAGCCAAGCCATGGGCAGCTCCCAGTATGATCTTATATCTTGCATCCCAATCCAAGAACAGCCTCCTCTCATGGAGCAGTCCAGCCAAACTTCCATTACTCATGTAATCAAATAAGAGCAACCTGGTTTTGCCATTGTTACAGCAACCCAGAAGTCTAACAATGTTTCTATGTCTTATGGAGCCAAGAATCTGAACTTCAGCTGAAAACAAGTCTCTTTCTGGAACTTCACCATTCTTTAAAGGCCATAGCTTCTTCACTGCAATGAATTGTTTTGCTGGGGTCTCCACACGATAAACTATGCCCGAACAACCCTTTCCGACAATGTTCGAGTCCGATAATCCCGTGGTAATATCATTCACAGTGAAGCTGAACTTCTGAAACGGAGTGAACTCCCAATCCAAGCTATCTTCTGGGCTGTTCTTGCTCAATGCTGTCCCGTGAGCTTTCATAAACAAACTCAACACGATCAGCACAAACGATGCAGCTGCAATAACACTAAGAAACAAAAAAACGATGAGATTTCTAGTCGATTTCCTGCTGCGATCGTCTCCATTCGAGTGGCATCCATTTCTTTTTATGCATAAATTCTCGTTTCGAGCAAATGCAGAGGGAGGGAGGTTTTGGAAGAACTTGGTATCAGGAAGAACACCTGAGAAGTTGTTGAATGAGACATCAAGAGAGACAAGATTATCAAGATTTCCCAACACTCCCAGGTTTCCAATGAATATGTTGTGAGAGATGTCCAAATTTGCAAGCTTAGAGAGATTCGAAAAGCTTTCAGGGATTTGACCAGATAAGGAATTGGAACTCAGATTCAAAAGAATGTCAAGTTCTTGAATGTCACCAATCTCAGAAGGGATTGAACCAGAGATTTTATTACTGCTTATATCCAACAACTGCAAATCTTTACAAAGACCCAATGAAGAAGGAATTGAACCAGTGATGAGATTTCCCCTCAGAATCAACTTGTTCAGAGATGAAAGGTTGCCTAGATTTGCAGGAATGGCGCCCGTGAATCTGTTCATGGAGAGGTCCAAGACGTGAAGTCCAATGAGGAAGGAGAAGGATGAAGGTATGTTTCCATGGAGGTCATTTCCATGCAAATCAACCATTTCCAGCTGAGTACAGTTGCCAAGCTCCGACGGAATTTCCGACTGAAATCGATTTTCCGACAGTTCCAGAAAGCTCAAACCACGAAGAAGCCCGATCTCCGACGGAATTCTCCCGGTGAAGTTGTTCGACCCGAGCCGCAAGCGAGTTAAGCTGCTACAATTGCCAAGATTCCGAGGAATTTCACCGGAAAGTCGATTGGATATCAACAACAACTGGCTCAAGTTCTTGAGATTGAACACAGAATCTGGAATCGATCCGGTGAGGAAATTGTGCGAAAGATCGATTGCTTCGAGTTTCTCGCAGCCGGCGAGCTCCGCCGGTAGGGTTCCGGTGAGCTGATTCTGCCAGGCGAAGAACAGAGAGAGCTGCTTCAGCCGGCCAAGCGACGGCGGAATGCGACCGGAAAATCTGTTGTTATCCAATTCAAGTTGCTTCAGAGACGAAAAATTTCCGAGAAACGAAGGGATTTCTCCAGAAATCTCATTCTCAGACAGAAGAAGCTCTTGAAGAGCAATTAATTTACCCAAAGAAACTGGAATCTCACCACTCAAAGCATTCAATGAGAAATCAATAACTACAAGCCCTGTTCCATTCCCAAGAGATTCTGGAATCTCTCCACTCAGATTATTCTGCCATAACAGCACCCTTCTGATACTCTTCATCTCCCCCAATTCCTCAGGAATTCTCCCGGAAAGTTGGTTCTGATACAGAAACAGATTCTCCAACGAAGAACAGTTCCCGATTTCCGGCGGGATTTCGCCGGTCAGATTAGCAGTATAAACCGAAAGCGTTTTGAGATTCTTAAGCCCTCCCAAACTTCTCGGAATTCGCCCCGAAATGCCGGTATCTGCGAGCCCCAAGAACGTGATTCCTTCACAGTTCGAAATCTCATCCGGAATTCCGCCATGAATGCCCTGATTTCCACCTGCACGAAGAATCTCCAACGCCCTCAACCGGCCAACTTCCGCCGGAATCTCCCCGAACAGCAAGTTGTCGTAGAGCTCAATCCGCTTGAGCATCGAACAGTTCCCAATCTCCGGCGGAATCTGGCCGCTCAACGAGTTGGAATTCAGCGCCAAGAGCTCCAACTTCGACAACCTCCCAATCTGAACCGGAATCTTCCCGATCAAAGCGTTGAAGCTCAGGTCGAAGACGGCCAATGACGATAGATTACCAAGTGTTTGCGGAATTTCCCCAGTGAGATTCGCATTGGACAAAACGAGCTTCGTGAGCGAGGTGAATCCAAGAAGCTGCATCGGGAAGCTGGCTTCGAGATTAATGGAAGAGATTTCGATTTCCGAAACGAATCCATCGCCAGAACATTTCACATAATCCCAACTGCACGGATTCTGATGCGTGAAATCCCAAGAAGAGAAGAAAGTAGCCGAGGAAGATGAATTGAAAGTTGAAAGCCATGAAAGCAGAGAGATGCCCTGTTGATTGAGACCACAAATTTCTGGTAACAACAAAGAGAAAACAATGATTGAAACAGAAACAGAAACAGAAACTGAAATTGAACTTCCAATCATCATGACATTGGTATAACAATTAACAATCCGTCTCTGTATCAGAGTTGTTCTTCCGAATTCAAATTCATCGGAGAACAGAAATGCATGAACTGTTTATGCTGTTGCTGAACTCATTGTTCTTCAGAAAAAGTTGATGCAAAAAACAATGGGTTGCTACTGGATTGGAACAGAAACATGCACACTGGCAGATACAAACAAGTGGGGGATGAGATTATGGATTTTTGGAGAGATGGAAGAAAGTGTGATATGATTTTGCCATTTTTACTGCACTTTTTGATTCCTTTGATGATGGGTTTGTGTTTGATTTTGGGTTCTCAAACTGATTCTATTGGTTCAATTAGAAAAGTGATGGAGAAGAAAACACCTAGAGTAGAAACTACAAGGCTCAAGTAAAAACATTCTTGTAATTGAAAAAAAAAATACATATTTTTTATTTTTTTTCCTCTTCTCAAATGCTAGGAAAAAAAAAACTTAGATGCTTACAGGTGAGCACTACGTAACACAATTGAATTTTTAAAAACTAAGAGAGAGATGCAAAAGTAGAGAATTTTATAAAAAATAATAAACGGTTAAAAATTCAATAGTTGATAGTATATAGATAACTGCTCATCCGTGAACACTGGAGTATTATCTTGTAGGTAACATTTTAAAAATAAGAGATAGGTAAAAGTAGAGAATTTTATAAAAAATAATAAACCGTTAAAAATTTAATAGTTGACAGTATATAGATAGCTGCTCACTCGTCAATATTGGAGTATTGTTTTTTACTTAAGACAGTTGAATTTTTATAATTTTTAAAAAAATAAGAGAGATATGTAAAAGAAGATAATTTTATAAAAAATAATAAACGGTTAAAAAATTAATAGTAGACCGTATGTAAATAGTTGCTCACCCGTCGACCCGGAATTAGAAAGGTAAATAATATCAAAATTTTGAATGGAGAGGATGTTTTATTAAATAATATTTCCTATATTTTTACAGAATTAATTACAATATAGCATTTTCTTATAGTATAGCGTTTTTTAATTATTAATTAATGATCGACTTTAAGAATGGTAAATCAATATGTTTTATTTTATATGATTGAAGAGAAATTTTAATAGGTGGCAATTCATGTTATCGTATTTATAAATATAGCAATATGATAATTTTTTTTTTTAATTTTTCACGTACACATATTTAGATATTTTTAGGTAATTCTATTTTTACATTCTTATACTATCTAAGCTAATGAATGCATAACTTAGATGTTGATAGACTGCAGTGATAAACATCTATCAATGTGTGAGAGCATTATAGGACCAAAAATAAATAAATAAATAAATAACTAGGGTCAATTTCAAGGTTAGTTTAGTCTTTTTCTACCAGTATTATTATTATTGCTATTATTTTTTTTGCTATATTACAAATGAAGAATGTCATTGCTATATATTAACCATGACTCATGGCAGCATAATTACATCAATAATTAATTAATCTATATACTGATTAAATGTATTCATTAATATAATCCACCTAAACATAGTTCAACCATACATATGTCAAATTAGAAGTTATGAGTTCAAATATCCCACCTTACATGTTATACCGAAAAAAAAAAATCATTGTTAATGTACATGTTTTTTTTTTATATTTGTAATTACTTTTTTGGTTATTAACTTGGTTATTTGATCTAAATTATGCTAAATTTAAATTCATTACGAATAATTTTGGAAAAAGACATCGTTTTATCCAATAGCTGTCGATATAAACACATAGGTAGTCTGATCATAATTTAATTGTTAAAAAATTAATAACCTTCTTATAAGGTTGAAGGTTGGAACTCCTATTAACATATTTTGTAATGCTATATTCTAAAACTAGTTAGAAAAATAACTCTATTAGGTTTCAACAATGCAATTTAACCTTAAACTAGGAAAAAACTAGGAATTAAATAATATTGATGAAATCATCTTAATTTTATAGATTGTAAATATATCGCAATTCTAATTTATAAAAATATTGATATATATTTCTTGAAAGAACATGAAAATGAAGAAATTCAATAAAACCATTCAAATAAACAAATAAACATTTTATATTTTATATATAAGTTAAAATTCCTTATTAACAGTTTTTATATTCGCAATGGTGATATTTTGTTGACATTTTCCATATTTCGTCAATATTTTTAGGTATATTGAAAATATCGATTAAGTTTCATTACCAATGTTGAATTGTTTTATTTATAAAAATATCAACATGTTATTTAATTCCATTTAATTTTGAAAATAATTTTAGATAATAGCTCAATTTATTGTTTTTTATTATTATTTTTTTAGTACAATTATTAGGGATGATGATTCAAACTCATCACCTTTGACCATATATGTCAATTACCACTGAGTTAGGATAATTTTGAAAATAATTTCAGATAATCTCTCGATTTATTGTTAATAATAAACGGATAAACTATGACATGACAGATTAGGGAGATTTATCGCTGCCATTCAAACTATCATCCAATTAATCTAGATATACAAGTTGAAGTTATCATATGATCTCCTTAACATATGTTATATCATATTTCCATCAAAATGATTTGAGAGACTAATTAGAATTCTTCAAAAAGAATTTCCAAAGTTATTCCCGATAATTAATTGAATGATTATTCAACATTTTTTATTAATTGATCATATCTATAAATAAAACATACAATAATAATTCACTTGTTCGGCTAAATATATAATTTAGTTTGTCCCATGTATTTGTCATGATTCACTTTCATCCATAATCATAGAAAACTTTTATTTTATTCTCTATGTATCAAAAATTAGGGTAGATTCATGTTTTAGACAGTAATATTCGAGGTTTTTTTCAATTTTTATTTAAAAGTTTAAATTTGGTCCTTATGTTTGTAGACATTTTTCAATTATATCTTTAAGTAAATGTTGAAATTGGTTAATGATAAACTTATATGTCATGCAATAATTTTATGTCAGCCTAAAATAATAAAAATTAAAAATTTTGCTTTAACTTCTAAGAAATTTGGGAGGAATTAGAAAGTTTCACCTCCCTATGCTACAAGAAATAAAATTTTAAAAAAATGCCGGTAGGTGCTTTACTTATTCCAACGTTTTCAATAAAACATCACCAAAAGTAGATTTTTCCCGATGTTATAAATTGCATCGAAAAAAAGGTTTATCCTAGCGACTTTTCGAAGGAAAAAACATGCATCCTTGTCTAGCTAGGTGGCTTAATCTCTCCTTTAAATATAGGTGATCCTACTTTAATTAATATGTCATGTTAACATATCATAAATCAATTTTGACATTCATGGATAAGAATAGTATAATTAACAATCGAGACTTAAATTGAAAAACATACCGAAACATTAGGCACTAAAATATATATTTAATCTAAAATGTATTGATGAACGATGACGGGACATCAAAATACACTTTATAATTATCTTATTTAGAAATATATATGTCAACTCACAAAATCAAAAACCTACTTAGGTGATGGCCTGTTCCCTAAAACTTACTCAACCTATTGGTTATTGCTAAAAAGAAAGTGTACTAATTAAAACTGCTAATATATTACAACTAATAATCCCATAAAAACAAGTTGATAAAAAGGTGTAACTATATATATATTTTTTCCAGCTGTACATATACTTTCAAAACATCTATTTTAGTTATTGTACTTTTAAATTTTGTTCATTTTAACGGTCGTACTTCCAAAACATTCGTTTTGGTCCTTGTACTTTAAAAAAGTGACAATTTCGGTCCCTAATTACAAAATGGAAATCTTTTAATATAAATTTATGGCTACACATTTCAAGAAATTTAGTATTTAAGTGAGTGAAGTGTCATGTTAAAATTGTGATCCAATGAAATAAGGCAAAAATGAAAATGGTCACCTTTTAAACAGGTATAGAGACTAAAATGAGCATTTTAGAATTATAAGAATTAAAATGAACAAACATTTGTATAAAGATCAAAATAAAGACCAAATGAGTATTTAAACTTCATAAATAAATACAAAATTTAATTCACACATCATCACTATTTTGAGACGCTAAGATATGTTTTTTTAGTAAAACATGTCGGGATGGGGGATTGAGATCCCAACCTCTTTGGTTTGAGATATATGTCAATTACCGTTGAACTATGCTCGTTTTGACAAAACTAAGACTTGTTAATTCAAAAATATTCAATACAACATGAATGAAATTCAACCTTAACACATATTTAAAGAATAAAATAATGTGTTAATCTTTTAATTTATTAATTCCTACACAAAGTAGAAAAAAAGAAAACAAATATACACATGTAGATGTCAAATAGCATAAAGTTAATTAAAGGTCTATAGCTTTAACATGAGTGATGTTTTTTGTTTTCCCCTTAGAAAAAATAGCAAAATATAGTCATAAGGGCTACATTCATGTGTATTTGTGTGGTTATCCAAAAAGTTTTTGTGGAAAGAGATCTCTTATCCACTCAAAGGAAACAATCCAAAGGGTGAAAATGACAAACCAGCCTGCCAAACATTAAAGAAAAATGTGTAGTAAAATAAAGGTTTAAAATTTTCATTCTACTCATTTTAGAATATCTATTTAAACTTTCAGATTTATTCTATTTTCGTCATTTGATTTTCTTTTGTTAATTGATTATAAATGGACCATGTATGAGTTCGAAAATATGTATTAATATATGTAATGACATAAACATGTACTAGAACCACAGCAGTAAAATTGGTGAAGGAAAATGATTATAGTTTAAGGAAGGCGCAATTATGCCATTTCAAAGATTAAAATTTTAAAGTTTTCATTTATTTTATCTTTCAAAATTTAAATATTTATTTGTAGGTAAAAGTTTTTTTCCTGTTGGCTTCGCTATTTTTTTTTTTTTTTGAGTCTGGACTAGTTTTCGTACATCTCTACTAATCTTACAGAACAACTATCTGAGTCTACAACATTTGGTGTCAGGAAACACATAGAAATTAATTTCTAAGGTATGTGACCATCATGGAACCTCTTAGCTTCACTATTAAATCTAATGGCTAAAATGATATTAAGTCCGAGGGATGAAATGACCATTTTAGAAGTGTTGAGATAATTGAGTAATATTTAAGTTTAAATAAGTAAAACTTAGGATCCTCTTTTTTTTGTTTTGTTTTTTGAATTACCAAATATGGTAAGAACTCTAAATCATTTAATGTTGGAATTGATAAAGTTGCTCCATCAATGCAAGTGAATCTACTCCTAAAGAAATTATTAATGAAAAAAAAAAGTAAAATAATAATAATAAACATAAGTAGGGTCCATTTTTCCCCATACATGAACCTTC